AATTGATGGCCATCGTCGATTGCGCAAATGGGTTCCCCAGAGAGCACTTATGGTTCATGAACAATAATGCTTCGACGTACATTGCATAGATTAAATTTATTAATGTCGTTGTCAGATATTTGCATCATACCTTCCAACCGCGAATGACAGTGTACATTCGCATAGTTTTCCAGAAATTATCGCTGTTTATTGTAAGCCTACCCACGAATACAACACATCAGGGAATCGGGCCTGAGGAGCTAATGCAAAGATGCGAGATCGTGAAAGAGGATCTGTTGCGCAATGTAAATCTTCTGCTGAAAATGCAGAAGATCAAAATGCTAAAGGTATGTCAGGGAGTCTTCATGTGACGTGTGGTCTTTGTCTTTCAATATCAAGTATAGAATGATCCGAAGTAATCCGCGGCTACTTCCTTGTACTCTACTTGGACTTACAGAGATGGCTTACATAGTCTATACACGAAAGTTAATGTTTGGGTTTGTACTTTGGTGTATCTGATATACAGCAAGGTGGCAAGCCACTATTTAAAATAGTTGACCCAGGGGACCGCACGGTTGGAATGTCTCAGAAAGAATTGCTGGTCCATCAGTTGATTGAAGATGCTGGTTCGTTAGGTATGTATACGAAGTCACGTGTAGGTAGGAAACTACATATGCGAGTAATGCTCACATACACAAGCACATATTCAAACCAAATTCTCAGGCCTGTTCAACGGTGTGTTGTGACCCCCGTGTCTCAAACGAGTTGATACAGTTTTATGCACAGCCGCTGAGATATGGAAAAAGGTAGTATGGGTGAAGCAAACGTGTCGTTTGTATGGGTTCCTTGCTGATTATACTGATTTATTGCTAATTTCGTATAACCAGGCATTTGGCAAAGGGAGTTGCGTATCCAAGTGAGCAAAGACATTGTGTCCACGGAGCTGACGAAAATCATGAAGAACTTCATGAACAGAGGGATTGCCAAAGAAGTCAAGTCAGTCATGGTGTGTATCCAAGCAAGTAGGCTAGATGACGCTGTTCTCCTCTGTGTTGATAATTGTGATAGCATACGCTTTTGAGTGTGTGGTCTCTGCTTTCAATGCCAGATAGTAGTGAATGTCATTGACAACCGGCATCGCCCGGTATCATATTTCAAAACAGGTTGTGGGCGCTCGTCTGCGTTCGCTGATTACTCTCAATGTATATATGATACCTATTTAAATTGGTCAATTCAAATGTGAAGACTTCTGGTCATCTCTACACGTACAATGTGATATGAAATGGATTACTTAAAAACCAATATTGGTACGATTAGCGTACTTCAGGTCTGCGTAGTGATCCAATATGAAATATCTCTTTTCCAACCATGTCCATCCTTTAAAAAGAATGAGGCAATATTGATTATCTGACAATTGTTATCACGCTTGGGCATTGCAGGAGCCGAAGAAGAAACTGTACATGTTATCATATATCACACCCGACCGGTCACTGACAGGTGGTGTGTGGTACAACGAAGCAGACTTCGATAAAGAATTCGTCAACGCCATGAGCCTTGTGTGCGCAGACTACTGCATTGCCAGGGTGTGTCGCGCTTTTAAGACAAATGCCCTGCGTACTTTAGAGTATAGCGCTGCCAGTCAGGTTTTTTATAGGCTAGTTTGATTCCAAAGTGTTTTTGGTGATTGTGAATATCTATCTGGTTTTGTTGTCGCTTTGCATTTGTCATATAACCTCGTCGAGAACCTCTCGACCTAGCCGGTCACGTTCAAATGATCATGTAAGACTCGCACTACTTATTAAACTAGTGTAAAATATGTTTCGTGCTAAGTTTGCGACTTCGTAGCGTACCCCATTTTGTGTAATATTTTTGTATTTTAATTTTTGGTCAGAGTTTAAGTACTTTCATCTGCTGCAAATCTAATGCACTCGTTGATATTGACTACTCTGTTACAATTGCTTTACGTATTAGGGGCGAGAAGCAAAGTTGAACCATCCACACGATTTCTTGGAGAGAGTGAAAGCCAGTTGCGTTTCCGAAGCTGAGCTGCTCGAGCACATTGTGAAGTGTAAAGTCTCACAAGTAACGGTAAGTATGTGTTTCCAATCTTTCGAGTGCCACCTAGGATATTTTATGGTGACCTCTAATTCCACCTTCGACATTATCAGAACTCATAAGCGAATTCGATGTAGTAATACGTCAACTCACGTTAATAGTTATTGCGACAGCCGAAGCACAATTTTTTCTACACAAGTCATGGTTATGGTGGCCAAGGTATTTCAATGCCAAAAGTATTATCTTCTCAGGTGTCAGACCACATATTCTTCCCATACCCGGAGGATAACTTATCTCTGTATTTGCAAGTGTGCTAAACCTCACACTCACGTTTGCCTACCTATCTGCACAGCTCCAAGTGAAAGATGTCGAATGCCTCATGCAAGCCTTGGTGTTCGATGGCAAAGTGCAGGTATGTGAACAAGACAGCAATATATACTCAAGTGTATTCGTAAAAAATATCTAAGCGTGTAAATACATTAGCTGTTCATTTGCTTGACCTGTCGTGTTTGCTGTATCACAACAAATCTAACAATCGAAAGCAAACAGCGTAGCTCAGATTGATATCAGCCTCTATGTAGTCTCTTCCGGGATTGCTCAGGTGGTTTTTATCCTTGAATTCGGTCGCTAATTGAGATTGCAAACCGGATGACCGCGTCTACTGCTGAATCTTGTGCACAAACAGTCACATATCCCACGAAATTGTGAACGTACCGAGTTGTGCTCACTCTTTTTGAGTAGAATGTTGACAGCAATAATTCAGTATACGAGCACCAAATTACTTGGCCCAAATCATTCAATGTACCCATACTTTGTGCACGTGCTTAAAACTATTGGGCTTATATACAATAATGGAAATATATGTAAACAGATACTGATGGCTGGCGGTGCAGTCACCCCTGTAAAAGACCGCCAAGGAAGGGCAATCTCGGCAGGCATGAAGATATATCGAGCAGTGGAAACCCATCTCCCAGCCAATGGGTTGACCCAATCGCCATGTGGTGTTTGTCCTGTAAGTACAATCTGTGTCTGTCTCGGATAAAATTTGTATGCTGTCATGCTTTTCAAGGTCGTAGCGCTTCGATGCTCCGCCAATTGAATGTCCCATTCAACACACATAAGGCAGCTACCACTTCCTACAACAGCGAGCTTAGCTTAACCCTTGATACGTACTGCATATTTATCGCTGCTTCAGTTATTTGAGTAGAATGTTCTTGTCCTATCACTCCTCTCTCAGGTGTTCAAATTCTGCAACGTGGGAGCTCCCATCTCCCCCGAATCATGCACATACCTGCGAGATTGGCTGGATTAGCTGCTGCTGATCATAATTTAGATTGTATATAACACATTTTAGAAATAAGGTATACCACAGAAAGCGACAGATGTCTTTGTAGTCTAAAACCAATATCGATTGGATCGGCGAGCTTCAACTTATTCGTGAATCTTCCCAACAGAGCACACAACTTGTATGGAGGCCTTCCGCATTGTGAGCATTTAACAGGTTCATCCTGTCATGCGAGATGCTTCAGTTCAAGTGCTGCCAAAACCCCTTCCACATTGATCGTATTACAAATGCGACCCGTCTCAGCAGATAAAAGAAACCACTATTAAACTAAACGCACATGCAGTTTATGACATCAGTTTTATTAGTGCCTCGTGTGAGCAAGTACAGCGATAGTTCCCAATGTGCACCACTCAGAATCTCGCTGCGTTTCAAGATCCGAGTCGACGACGAACCACCCAGTATTAATTACACCAGGATCGGATTGGGTTGTTGTCACTAAAAATATGCCGTGTATACCGATTGCAGCCAGCCTCTATGCAATACAAGGGCTGATCCGCTTCATGTTGCTTTTACAAGAATAGCTGAATAGCTGGCAAACTTGCGAATTGCAGCGCCAAAATGCAGACGAATTTTATCACAGCGCATCAGGCGACCAGTTGTATACCTCAAATGGGTTGCAAACTCAGTCCCCTCACACTTATACTCGAGCTTAAGTCTGCACAAGAAAGCGCTTGCGTCGCAAGATAGTCTAGAGTAATACTTTGCTTTCAAGTTGCTGATGGCTTTTTCCCCCGTGCTCCGAATATAGACGATCCCACGCGGACGTTTGTGCTTCCAAGTTCAATCTGCGTGTTATAAAAGCATCAGGTTATATTGAAGTACACCGAATTTGCAGTGGTCTAGCCCCAACTGTGAAGGGTGCTGTATTTGTACAAACGTCAAAGCTACAGTGTGCATCGCAGAAAAGGCAAGTATGTTGACGCCCGATATAGGATTCTGAGAATACATAATCGACTTACCGCATGTTCAAAGTCGCCGGACATGCCCATACTCACTTGGAAACTCACGGGATCAAAACCAAACTCGTCACAGATCCGAGCGCGCACCTCCAACAGTGCCTAGTAGTGCGCAAGTAGACTGATGTTAGCTTTTGTGTATTGGAACACGATACGTATATGTAAAGAAGGTATGCCAGGGGTTAATGTGTTATTTGATAAGTTTCGAGGGATTGCAGAACAGTTCAGCTTGAAGGCGTAGTGCATGGGAAATAAGTGATTAGACTAAAAAGTCGCACGATTTTTGCAATAACTTTCTATTGGGCTAAAATAATACGGACATATTGAAGGAGAAAGCATCTTGCACATCCCGATACTTACCACAAAATCGGGATTCGGTCTTTCTGACTCGTCCCTTCCAAATTTGCCGATCGTCATTACTCCCGCCAACTTCAACTGGTCGCACTCTTCAATCACAACGCGTGCAAGTTGTACCGCATCCTCTACAGCACACCCATTCTTATCTGCGGGATTTGATATGAATTGTGTATTGGATTTGAGCACTAATAAAAGACTGATCTGATTGAACATTATACAGCTACTGCGTTTAAGATGAGAAAAACAGTGACTGACAACTAAGATGAGCAATATATCCCCCACAGATAAGAATAGTAGTGTTCTCTAAGGTCATCAGCTATACGCGATAGATTTTTGACGGCAGACCATTATAAATCGAGGCATCCGCGCATATAATATTACATGGCTCCCAGTTAAAAACAAAGGCGCGTGCTCCTTTGATTGATAGACAACCCGAGAACGAAGCGCTAACTATCAATTTATAGATAAATTGCAAAATGGGAATATTCTACACAGATTTTCAATACGGAGAATGCAGAGCTTAATAAACCTCTCTACGCACCTAAACGCATTTATGCCGATCATATATACCAAGTCAGTAGTGAAACTATTGACAAGCGAGTGAAAAATTAAGTATAATCTAAATTGATACAGGCACATACTATCTTCTTCGCTCGTGTTGATTTGCAGGAGAGTTAACAGCGGGTCTTTGTTATCCCTCGACTCCAGCGCCCTATTCATTTTTCTGGCCGTCTTCTCTTTCCCGCATGTTTCCCACAAATATAAGTTTGGAATCTCTGAGCGCAATATGATAGAGGTACAGAATTAAACATGTGATAAAGCGAGAAAAAAAAGCGAGACTAGCTCTTGTACATACCGTTAAGGGTGTGTCTTGCATTAGAAAACAAGCGCATTAACGAGTGACAGGCAAATGAACATTCAGATATATTCGCACACATACGACCTATTAATAGATAAAAAAATAGGGCCAGACTTGTGAAGGCCATATAATAAAGTAAACCGAGCAACTAACCTGCCAAATCTTTGCATTTGTTGCTTTGTAGGTGGCCGATGAAATGCCATTTGATATCAGATGGCAGCTCAGCTGATTTGATTACCAATTCATCCATCTGTTATTCAAGGTGAGCAAAGGGTTGAGCTATATTTTGCAAGTCACAGTGTATATCTATGGAAGTGCATGTGAGTAATCGCGTACAAAAGACCGGGCCGGCTGTTGTGTACTACCGCTGCCATATCTCACTGAGGTGTAGCTTGACACCCATAATGACTCGCAAAACATACGTAATTCTCGCCGAAGTGCCTATGCCCGGCATCATACACCTCCTGCAGGTCACTGACGGGTTTAGTCTTCGACACAGCTACCAGTGTTGGCTGTGAAATAAAAAGAACATGGGCCGTGTATTAATATTAGCAAATCAACATAACCGTAGCGAGCTGAAACATTACTGCCAACCTTCGAGTATTTGTGAGATCCAGAATCAGAGGCTAGTTAACGATATAATTCTTCTTATAGAAGAATGTAATGAAGTTGGTAACGAAGGATGTTTGTATTAGGGCCCTAGTATATATTTGTTTTAAATGTGAAAGTGTAGATATTTTGTTTCACAATAATTTCCCAAATATTTACACTTGCACATTAGCAAATATATACTAGGGCCCTAATACAAACACCCATCGATACAAACTTTGCATTCTTATATTAAAAGAATTTCATCGTTAACTAGCCTCTGATATTGAACTCTAAATAGCCTTCGAGTCAACCGCGAGCATAGTACTATACAACACTACAAAAATGCTCCCCTTCCACCTCACCTCGGCGTTGTCAGCAAATTTAGAGTTGACATGAGCGGTCTTTACTCGATCAGATATGCCCTGAAGATTTTCGGCTATGGACATGGTACCTACACCTCTCAACAATCGGTGGTTGCAGTGGAATGAGTGTGCGTGAATATGCTCAGGCTTGATCTGTGGACGTGACGAAGTAAGGAAGGAAAAAAAGGGTGACGGATTGCGGAGGTTAGGTTATAATTTAAGCATACCAGTTTCGAGCATGAAGCCTAATTAACTTTGGGAACTGCACCTGGGCTCAATTGCTACGAATTAAGTATACGAGACTCGTTAGCCGACTCCTTTTTAATATATTTCATACTACCACATGAATGAATAACACTGTGGACGTTGTCAGGCTACGTCAATGAGGCTTAAGCTTCCTATCTCGTGCACAGAGCTAATTTATTTCGCAGCACACACTTAATTGTTGGTAATGGGAACATCCAGGAAAATAGTTAGAACTAGAAAAAAATTGTGCTGTGCGCCTGCACAGACAGTAGAAAAGCTAATTATATATCTATATCC